AAGCATTATGATTTCCCGTGTTAGTAACATTTAACGTTAGGAAGTTAGATTGCTTGGAAATTGAATTGGAATTAATTTTGTAACAACCATAAACAATTAACTGATTAATTATTATCTTTTTTTTATTCTTCCATAAATGAGAACCCGTTTGTTAACACGAATGATGAAAAAAAAGAGTTATAAACTATACTTCATATGCATATATTTTTATTGCATTTTATCACTTACTTGTTAATGCCCTAGTTTTGTATATATTTATTAATTTGATAGTACATATTTTATTTTAGAATGGAGAAACATTGTACGATACACAAAGCAACTATACCTAACTAAATTTTAAAATGTATGACATACAGAATCACAATGAGCTACGTAAGTGGTGGTATGTATTCGGCTTGATTCAGTGAATACATAATAGCCTATTGTCGTATTTCTAAAGGTGGAACAGACCTATTGCAAATTAAAAAAAAACATGTTTTTAACACTTGTATAAACTGCTATACAAGAAAAGATTTGAATTATAATAATATTAAAAAAAAATAACCTCCTTAAAATAGAATAAGTTTCAAGTCTATCCACCCGTAAGAAGCTCGGACAGTTTTCTAATTTGGTTATAACCAACCAAAGATTATTATTAGTTGCTCTATTTTGCCAGATTGAGGTATGACAATATGTTTTTATACATATGTGGTGCTGTGGAAATACACAGTAAATTGTGATAATAATCGAACTTGGTAATGTATTCTTCATTGTGTAACGTTGTACATTTTGGCAAAGGCGAGGTCGAATCGAAATCAACTGTGGCAGAATATGGCAATAACAACATGGATACAATTATTGATTTTGTAACCAGCGTGGGAGGTCACAGAAAGGACTAAGAATGTAAATAGATAAAATGCCTAAAATGATTTTGGCAGACTATAAAGGAAACACGATTCGTTTACATACATCAAATAGACAACACCGTTTTCGATTTGATATTTCCGAATGTGAATGAGGTGTAGCAATAAAACATTCATTATCATTTACGTTGGAATCAATAGGCTATAACTTATATAAGTTTAATTTTGTAGGTGTACATATATTTTGAAACATTGTCGATTAAAAAAAAGGAAATTTAAATTACTTTACGATCGATGTGAGTATAAATACAAAGATAAGGATGAGAAAAGATAACACGAAACGTGACTTTCACGTCTTCGTTTCACATTCGCACACACATTTGTACATCGTAACGTAATATAGAGTGTCATCAACCATATACGAAGTATTAAATTACGAGGAGGACTTCAGGCGTAAAAAAGAACAAGATCATCAGTTAAATTACAAAAAACTGTAGGTCTTGTCTGTCTGTTATTTTGTAAGTCTTTAAAATGAATCGCCCTCGACACTAAAAAATTTAGCATTCCTTATATTGACCTGAATCCATTGTTATACAGAATATATTACATTCTTGATTTAAGATGGAAGGTTTTATAAGAATTGGAGCAGTTATGAAGCGATCAATAAGTAATTTTGTTGGTGGTGTGAGAGACAGGATGTAGGTCACAATATTGCCGCTAAGGCTTTGTTATCTTACGTAAAAAGGCTTGCTAATTTTTTTTATTATATTAAAAATTAGTTACTCTTTAACTTATACTTGTAATTAAGGTTTATGATAGTTTACTTTTTAAGTGTCAACAATTTCATTTTTGTTGCGGACTTTTATAAAACTTGAATGCGCAGTGGTGATGATTTGCCCTTTGTGTTCTTTTTCTGATGTCTTAAGAAATCATATTAATTGAGATTTTAGAAATAATAAAATCTTACAATTTTTTTTACTAATGTTATAAATGCAAATGTTTAGATGTATGGATGTTTGTTTGAAGGTTTCCCCAGAACGACTGCACGGATCTTGATGAAATTTGGCATACATATAAACATAGTCTCAAAGAACACATGGGCTACTAATTATGTTTTTTTTTAATTCCACGCGGTTGAAGTCGCGGGCGACAGCTAGTAAGAAAATTTAATTTAAACAAAAGGCCATCACTCTACACATTTGATTTTAAGTAACACAACAGTAAATAAGGAATTTGTTTCAATGTTAATTATATTTATCTATTATATACAATTTACAGTTCTTACACATCTCGGCTTTAAAGGAAAACTTAGCTAATAATCAGGATTATTAGCTAAGTTTTCCTTTATATATCATAGCCGTGAATTAATTAAATATATTTTCTAATGTCATGCGGAACGTAGAAGTAGGAAGACTTGTGTTAATTAATTTAATACTTATGTTCTATTCTACAATTATGAAATGGTTATTGGATTTATTATTGTGGGAAAAAATATAATGCAAAATATAAATCAGTCTGACAAGCTTATCTGTACCTAAGGTAAATCAGTGGCATAAGTTTCTTGGATCATTATGAGGATTTACCTACTTATTTTTCCTTGTGCAGCAACAAATAGGTTTACACTGTTTCTTTGAAGCTAAAAATAATTTTTTTTTTTTAATTAATGGTAGCTTATTAATACACTCAAAAATCTATTTATGTATAATATTTAATTTTTTTAGTAGAAATCGGAGTTAGTTACTCTAATTATAATATTTTTTTAAAATATATTTGTTTGTCTCAATATCCCTGTAAAAATAATACATATCTTTGTATTCTAACCTACGGTCATCCTTGACACTGTACGAGTACTAGAGCACAAACCAAAACATCACAACCCATTATCTTATCGCGTATTCATCATACTAAGAAAGGACAAGTAGACATGGTCTGTGTATATTTTTCCCGCAGTTAAGTAAAGATAAAATAAAAAATTAGACAATTAAAAATAAATAGACAATTAATTTAATTGTTTAATACACCAATGCTTCAATAGGTTTCTTGGTTAGTTTAGTATAGAGGAAAGAGCCATTCATTGAAAATCATGAAACATTTTTGATATTTAAGCGTTTTTTGATCTAATTATGGTTAACTTCGTGTCGCTTATACTTCGCGCAAATATTTTTGGAATAATTTAAAATAATTTTACGCATCAAAAAACCTTGGCATTTAATTTTTAAAATGATGTAATAAAAAAGACGAGTAATATCTGTCATATGGAAATCTGTGATTTCGTATTGATTTTAGCTGATAAGTTATCAATCGATGTTCCTTGCACTTGAGTTTTTTGATAAAACGATTGCGGTCGCGTGAGAACATTTCCGTCAAACTAGACCTTCAAACAATGAAAGAGCTATTGTGACATATTTTAACCCGATCTCATTTGATAGATAGTAGCCGATTCTCTAGTCTACTGAATATGCATATATCATTTCATAAAAATCATTCAAGCCGTTTCGTAGGAGTATGGTAACTAACATTGTGACACTAAGAATTCTATATATAAGAAAAATATATGGTTTAAAAAAATGCTGGCCATTTTATAATTAATCTTCTTACATCTCTTGTATAGTTGTTTGAAAGGATGTATTCAAATGGCGGCTCTACAATATACAATGGAAATGCACTCATAGTTTTTGTCTGTTGCGCAGCTGGCTTCAACAAAAAATCAACATCTTGATACAACACGTGATTGTACTAAGCTAAAGCAAATGTGCCTTGACACAAATGCTTATATAATAAGCGACAGGTAATTAGAAAAGTAATAAATCCGACTAAATGTATGACATGAGGAATACGAAGCAGATGACACCTCACTCCATAAAATCAGTCTAGCAGTTTTTAAGACGTAAGTTAGTAAAAAACAAATAAGCAAACAAATATTTTAGTTTTATAAGTAGAGATAGACAAAGTAATTAAAATGAAAATTTCCTTATTTATCAATGATTTTTAATGTAGAGAAAACTGAAAAAAAATTACACTTAAAATACCCGAATTTTTTACCTACGCTTAAATTTGTCAAAATAATTTAGAAAATAAAATTTCCTACGGGACTTAGTTTTTAATACGAATCTTATTATGTATTCATTAAAACAGTTAAAATTGAAATAAAGTAATTGATTTCATCAAGTGATGAAATCCATATTAATTTCCGTTTGCGTGTTCATTTTAGCGATAGTGCAACCACTTCGTAAAGCTTTCGAACTAGAGACAAGTGGCAGCAGGCACTTCATAAAAACTCATGATTTGCAATTTCGCTTTCGTGGTTGGTTTCTTCTTTAATATAGTAGATATGATAATAATGCAGCAAATATTTAAATTGTCCTGAGCATCGGTTTCGCCCCGAAATCTACCTGACTTTTTGTATTCAATCCTTTATTACCGTCTGCAGCCTAAATGGCTTGATCGATTTTGAAGTATGAAAAGTTTTTATAAAAGTAAGTTAAACCTGCATCAATAAGAAAAAGTAAAAAAAAATGAAAGCACGATTTACCTGGGATTTGATCCGAGGTCTGCAGTTAACCTATTTATCTCCTGACAAGTTGAGTTTTTCTCATCTTACTTTTTGTCCGTATAAGTAGGTAGTTTCTTAATGTTCATTCGTAAGTTTTCTTTTAATTTTGTAAAGCAGTATGTAAAAATATTTCAATACAAGCTATAGGTCGCGTATCCGTCGCGTGGAATTATGAAGCAAAACCCTAATTAGTAGCCTATGTGTTCTTCCAAACTGTGTTTTACATCCATGTTAATATGTTATCGTTTATTTAATTTACCTTTTTAATAGTTTTGCATTATGATTCAAATACATACAACATATTACTAAAAATATTTTTGTTCATACTTTCTTTTAATTTATTGAAAAGAAGATATTTATTTTAATCTGACGTTATAAATCTGCTAGACACAGGCACTATTTTTAATTGACCTAATTACTTTACCAAAGCAACAGTGATGGTGTTACAGTTAGCAGAGATATTTAAATAACCATATTGTAGAAATTCTATACGTAAATAAATGCAGTGTAGAGACAGTATAATTAAATTGAAATCGACTACGGTACCCGATCACTTTGTTACTTTAAATGTCAAAAACAAAAAGTAAAATTGCAAAGCAACTCACCTTAATTTTTTATCCTTCATTTTAGTTTAAAACACTGGTTTTTGGTTTATAAATACAATAAATAGACACACGAACTTTCACTTCGAATTAAATATTATCAGTTTATTTGACTAATAATTTAAATAATAAAACTAGATTCACGATTTTTTAAAACATTGTGCTAGGTTATATTTAGTGCGTGTAGTGCTGCAAAGAAGCGGCAAAGGCGACTGGCTGATGGCGTGTGGAGCGATGCGACCGTACGTCGGTTGAAGCGGCCGTTCGTCGCGGGTTAGGTTTTGTGACGTCATTCGTACTTCCAGAAACCTTGAACTGCCAGACTTGAATATTATCGACATCTGGTTTGGCTCAAACATTGATAACACGCAACTACCGACACTTTTTTTAGCTAGAAAAAAACTATTTTACTTCCCAAATACACAGTACACATATGTACTTTTGCTATATAAAGTCTTTATACTATTCGAGGACATACCATTATCTCACACAAGAAACTGAAACATGAATATTAAAAAAGGAGTGTAGTCTGGTGAGTGAGCCGTCGTTACACCTGAACAAATTTTCACTAACAAACACATTGTAATACTAATCCAATTTATCGGAAAACAACGGTCTTAAAGGGGTCCTGTTTTTTGTGAATGATATGACATACGGAGGTCATTTAGTATCAGACTTGATTTGCTTGATCAATTGCTTTCTTTTTATTCCTTAAAAAAATTAAAAAGAAGTTAAGAGATGCTTAATTAAATTATTACCTACATATTACTGAACAACATTTATCTATTACGGTTCGGGTTGTGGGATCGAGGTCAAACTGAGATAAAATGTTGATGAGGTTTACATATTAAAAATTCATGAACAATTTAGGTACCTATATATTATAATAATTAACGTATTAGTTTATTGTATGTTGTCGATCAATAATAGTTTTTGCATAAGTAGGTAATATGAATAGTTCATGCAAGTAGTTTTTATCGCGGGATTTTTACTCTTGATTCAAGACAATAACGTGTGCACGTATAATCGTTCAATGGACGTTTTATGCAAGTGTAATGGGTTAGTAAAACGATAAAAGACATTGCACCTTAAAACCTTATCAAACATCAGTAAACATCAGTCGCATAAAATATGAAAGTTAAACGGACCTTTGTTCTAACATTCCAATGTGCATCCAAACACAATATAAAACGATTAGAAGAGCACATGAAAATTATTTGGTTAAAATTAAAAATTAATTTCGTACGTTTTACGTAAAGACGACAACGTCGCGAGTGTTTACCTAAAGGTTAGCATAATGTTGCTTTCTATTTCTATGGAGTAAAATACTTTTACTAAGAAATTGTGCAGTCATAGTTGTGATGAAACAAAGACTTTTTGTCTTCTGACGGAACATAAGCAATCAGAAATGTTTAAAGTCGACTTAAAAAATATATGATTAAAATAAAGGCCAAAATCTTTTGTAATTCGGCCTTAAATTCAATTTTCTTTTGTTTCGCCAAAAGAGGACCTTCGTATTGGAAATCTCTTATTATTTCGATACAAAAGAAATCTATGGTATTGCAATTGAAAAAGTAAAACTTTCATTTCAAACAATTGCTTATTAAAGTTATAATACAAACAAATCATTCAACTTTCCTGCAGCTGCGATAACGTGATTACATTAAACATTTCATAGCCACTAAAAACGTTAGCAGAACCAAATTTCCCTATAAAAGGATTATGTAAAAATACATAACAATCACGACCGTAACCTGGCGAAGATTACGAATTTCCAATCTACATTTAGAATCTAGAACCTAGACTGGAGTTTAGACAAAGCTATGATGAGCTATTAACATTGTATCATATGACGGAAGTTACAATAAAATACAAATTGTTGTTTTTCTACTAAGATAACGAGGTAAAAATCGAACGAGATCTTTAGAAGGACTTCCGTACAGTACTTACGGAGTTTACCTTATCCAAAATTATCGCTGGTATTCAAAGATGGAGGAAAACTGTCGTCTAATCTGTACTGTCCTTACATTTGTATGTATCATTAGAACTCGCAAACAGCACGTGTAATGAGTTTTAAAAGGTCACCTTGAGTCACCGCAGATTGCAGATGGGCATTTGAAATATCATTCGACCATAAACTGATCATAGAGAAACACAAAACATTTCATGTCACAAAAGAGGTTATTACTCATGAGAATATTTTTTTTTTGTAAACAATCATCACCCGCTTGTATTAGTGCATTGTTGAACTTATATGTCCCTACATGCGATTCTCTGGATTATCCGTCAAGCGACTGTATTATTTTCCAAAGGATAAACTAACTTTCAATATTCATGTAAAGTCTGTTTCTAATTGCGTAGTAGGCTTGTGTTATTATTACTGTCCCGTATAAATATTATTTAAAATATTCTTATTTTAATGTATTCTTATATTCTGCCTTTAACATTTCAATAAGCGTAGAAAATATGTTGTTTATATCATACTTGTTTACAACATATAAAGTATTCAGTATAATACAACTCTACTCGTTACATTCCAAAAAAATATGTCGCAATAAGTATAAGAGAATCGTATTTTATTTATTAAAATGATCTGAATGAAAACGAAAGAGGAATATGCAAAATTATTTTTTTAATATTGCCTAGATTTAGATATTTAGTCTGGAAACATAACGTTTTGAAATATATTTTATTCACTTAATTTGATTTATCTCCTTTAGATGAAAGTAACATTAAAGTGATCGATTAATTTTACAAATCAAATATCTTCCATTTGCTTATTAAAAAAAAACAACAACACGAGATAGGACGAACATCATAACACTCAATATATGCGTGATAGCACATTTTATACATTGTGTTGACAACTAGAAGTATAGACAAATACTCCGGAAATGAAGCATTTTGATTGATTTTGACGTGGATCGATTGTTAAGGATGTAGCGAGATCGACCTCTAATGCCGGAATTGTACGAGAAAATATCATTTGTGTTACAATTATGTAGACAGCAAGCCCTTATTAATTTTACTAGTGTTTCTAACTAGAAAATATATTAATACCCATTTCACTGTCAAAATACCTGAACAAAATATATTGTGTAACCTCTTATTATTTTATAGAGCATGGAACCCACGCTTACATTATACATGTTTTGTGGTTAGTTAAAACAATCTAACGCAGTTTTTGACATTGGAAGTGATAACAATATACCAGAAATAATCCTGATTAACTTGATCTAGCTATAAGTTGGATGTACAGTGCTATCCAAACTTTCCTTACTGTAGCTCGCAATTTTATAAGAGTGGCTCAGTAAAAATTTAGGTATCGGTGGGAGAGGCCCACTTTTACGCACTTTTCACTTCATCGGTGATGCATCCATCAGGCAGCGCAAACATAAACTTTGAATCCTATAATACGATAAAGTGAACGGTAAATATCGCTATAACTTCTTTTATTTTATGCCTGCCTTTTTAATTGTTTTGTTTCCGCGTTGTACGTTGCTAGGGGGAACTCGGAAGGAATAGGAACACTATTTTGCCGGTTGTCGCCTTTCGCTGCGTATTATCTAGGATATAACAAGCTTCTTGCGAAGGTTTTTTTCTGAAAGTGTGTACTAGTTACTTTGATATTGTTCGTTGATATAGAAAGGTTAACATGACTTAATTGTTTTAACACAACGCTTCGGTAATTTGTCGCAACCGCAGTCTACACAGGTGGGAATACAAACCCCTGTAGGTGCAATTGAGTAAATACACAGAGTTTAAAGATGACCATAATACAGTAGTAGTATTCTAGGAAGCAGTCGATTCTCTCTTCACGCACAATTACTAAAATTGCAACGAAGAAAATAAACAATTGAAGTTTGATAGATATCCGCAATGGACTAATAACTCAGTGCAACAAAAACCAAGGCCTGATCTTCAGTTTTTTTAATGCGTATTTCGTTCTGCATCATTAATAGCTAAACTAATTGTCGCAAATTCTCCTGAGTAAATGAATATAATTGTTTAAGCTTTAATGTTTTCAATTATGAAGTCCGTTATGTATGAACTGCTACTTTTAATAGTTGACAACTTCAAACGGTTGGTTTTAGACCATCAACAGTGGACGTTCGCAATACACGGATCGCAGACTGTTGTTGCCGATAAAATCTGTAGGTGGCCATACTCCGAACACTTGAAGTGACTGTTAGAAACAGTTCGTGTATGGTTCTTAGTGCAATTATTTAATCGGTATATGTCGGCACATTGATGTTAAATTGTTAATAAAACAAATTTTACGACGACTTTGTTTTTTTTTTAAAGTAATTTAACATTGTGTTAGTATTGAATCGTAGTCATTCCTAGTGTGTACTTTTGGCTGTACCGAACAGTCAGCTCAGAAACCAGCTGTCTAATAACCACGATGTTGGTTCGTGAAAATATTACTACGATCCGGTTAGAGAGGCTAGTTTATTACTAGGTCAGCAATACGCAATATTTAATTCTCAAGGTGACAACAGTTCTCGGCTAGTACATTACCTCTTAGACTTTAATATTTAAACATTAAAAAAAAGATATAGGCAATGATATTCCTGTTTATTATATTAAATATTTTACGTATCGTTGGTTTCTGACACCAAAATCTATATAAAACATATCGGTATCTCTGTTTTGTCAAAGATAATCAGAGAGATTTTGGTCTCAAAAACCAATTATTAAAGTAATAAACTAACACACAAAATCAGTTGTTTAGTACTTAATAAAGTGTATTTTGGAAGTTAAGATAATTAAGACAGTTTAGTCTTATCATCTAAAAATTATATGAAATCTTCTACAAAGTAGGTTAATATCTCATTGGTTTCATTTATTTTAATACATGAAATAATATTTACACACGGGTGTCACAATACTAGAAATCCTTCGGTATACATTGTAATAAAAAAAACTATATTCTGGGATTTTTTTTAATCTAGTGCTTATAATGACTAAGCTAGCCTGTTGATTCAATGTGAGGAAATGCGTACTTATATCCGTTCATGTGTGTACTTATACTTTTATATATAATATATTTCAACTAGGTGTCGCATGCGACTCCGTCCGCGCGGGATTAAAAAACTTAATAAAGTAACCTATGTGTTCTTCCAGACTATGTTCTACAAATATGCCAAATTTCATAGTGATCCGTTCTGGCGTTCCGGAGATACCTTCAAACAAACATCCATCCGTTTATCGAAACATTCGCATGATTTTTAACATTAGTATGATTACAATCTCACTATTTTCCTCCTGTGCAGTCGGCGAAACTACGGGAACTTTCACGCATAATATCCGCGGCCTACCAACGCTAGAGCTGTTAAGCCAGTTTCGTGTATGATGAGATTATGACCAAGTTTAAGCTATTAAGTTAATCGTTGATGTATGTTAAATTCGCGACAAATAAAAATATGTATTTTCCGCCTACCCTAAGGCGTGCGTTGTGTTGCATTAAGTTTTATGTGTCTCTGTAATTTCCTTTAGGAATTATTACGTTTAATTTTTATTTGTGAAGTTTATGTATTGCTATTTACATTGCAACAGGCGCTTTATAATTCTTAACGTATATGTTACTCATTTTCATTGTTAGATGTAAATGTATGAAATGAAACTGAAAAAGGCTTCTTGGCTTTGTAATGTAATTTACTATTTAAAAACACACACACACGCACATAAAACGTACAATAACCTGAAAGAGTAGCGTGTGAGCTGAACTTCGAGAGAGTTCGATAAACGGACGACGTCTCTAATTACTAAAGCACCAGCACGACAGAATATAAAGTTCATAGCAGGTTCTAGACGTATCGATTTTCTAGATGCCTTCCCTTGTGACTAATAAAACGCTGACACTTATTTTCATTTATTGCTTATAAAAAATGTTATCCGATGTTGAAGTATTATTTGCCTTAAAATTATTGGGAAATGCTAATAATTAGCAATTTTCAGTCGCTTATTTAGAAATGAAATACCTTAAAACAAACAAAATCTTCGGAAATCTACAATGTAATTTTTCAGGCATGTATTTTATAACGAACATATGACTATAGTATCTATTTTATATATATTATATATGCATTTATTGTAATTTGATACTATCAAGAACATACAATTCACAAACAACAGATCTTTGTTGTTTGTTAGAAGTTTGAACAGTCTGGAAGCTGCGTGAACTCGTAGTTGCTGCGAATCAATTTATATCGAGACTGTTTTGATGTTTTATTGATGAGTCTTAATATGAGTACAGCGCAGCGCATATAATTGAAACTGATATAAGTTGCATGTAGAACTTTCGGTGTTAAGATCCATATCAGTATTTTTTTAACTGCTGTCTCTGTACCATTTAGTTATATCCAAACAAAGATATAGGAACGCATAACATACAAATATTCATTCGTGTATAACATATAGGTGTGGCGTTTATGAGAAAACATATAGTTTGTAGTAAACAAAAGAATAAAGTAATCGTCATAAATAAAGAATTTAGTACCCGTCTGACCTACTTCCCCAAAATATACGAGTATCAATATAGGCATCGAGCGACCTCTGACAGCTAAAAGCTAATTGACACGGCGCCTGGAATACGAGACAATTCCTCATTATATAAGTTGTTTTAAGAACTTACTTATGATATGTAGCCTCAGCAGACTAGTGGTTATGGGACGTATCGATGTTGCGGGTATAGATTCGAACCCTGCAGCTGTAAATTCTTGTGTGGTTCATTTTTTCCAATTGTAATCCAACGCAGGAATCGATCGGCGGACTGGAATAATGCAACGTACATATGAGACATAATAATACCTTTGCTTGTAAATTGCATCTTTTGAAAATAAGTTACAATCAACTGTTAACGTTAATGACTAATTAAGTAACGTAATAAAGTCAATAAATGTGACAAATTAGTATTTATATTTTTGCAAGTCACAATTATTGCGAAATAACAGCTTTAATTATAAACATAATTACGTGGAACTGTATGTTAGTTTATATTAGGTTCATCAGTTTATTGCGATTTGATGTATGTTTGCTCTGAGAAATGTGACTCACATGCCTTGACACTGCGTCAAAACAATGCGTTGACTAAAAATGTTCATATTTATAGTACTGCTGTGAATATTTACGGTTTCTGATAAATTAACATTTTTAAAAGAAGTATATATATAATTTTAATAGAAAAATTCTGGTAAACTATCTAATTCCGTTAAATGAAAATTCTAATGCATTAATTTTGAATTGTCAGTATTTCCAACTTGATTGAAGTTCAGCGAAAAATTATAACATCCGCTCTAAGGTAAACGGTTCAAATTCTGACTGTAATGTAAATCACATTACAGTCAGAATTCAGAATCACATAAAAGTCATCCTGTTCATTTTTTAAAATATCATTTTAAAAAGTGCTCAATTTAAGTTGAAGGACTGATCGTAAATTTACAGGTACGGTCTATGAATACGGACGATTATGTGCTAATTGGAAGCGAACGTATGACCCGTTATGTTTCCTAAAACATCCGTATTGTAAACACATGCACAATATGTGTGTCACTGGAGCGAAACACCATATAAAACAAGATGTTAACACTGCACAGCATTCACACTGGGATTAGCAAGGGCAAGGGATTAAATCAAGATGGTGTCAAAAGTATTTTACTTATTTGCACTAATATTATTTATATTTGTGATTAAAAGTCAGTCTGCGCCTTTCATAGAGTCTAAAAAAGAGATTCAAACTGCTCCGGTTAAAGATGCAAATGAAATGATGGAAACAGCGGAATCACAAAATCCGTTCTTGCCGCGGTTTGCCATGAGAAGGTTAAAGGAGAGAAGGGAGAGAGTGCGGGCACAAAGACGACAGAACCAAGGAGTTAGGAGATCACAAACGGTTAGACCGCCTTGTACACATTGGAGGACATATGTAAGTACATATAAATGGTATTGTCATTTCAATTAGTTCAATAAAGATTTTACTGTAGTTCTTGCAAGGGCAGTATTGTTGTACAAGCTTTATGTCATGATTTTAAATGCCTTGTAGTTAATATTTAATAAAACTTTACTTACTTAATATTAATAAATGACGTAAATATGAAAATAAATATGCCTTAATTAGAATTTCCAGTTCTTGGCACTTTCTAATATAATTAAAAATTTTAAAATAGACGTAATCGTTACTGGAATTGTACTTTGGTGACCAATATAACATTACTTTAAAGGAAACCTATTGACCTTCACAATGAGTCTAATCATTTATATAAATAAACTACATTTCAGTAAACGGCTTTCTTTGTCCCAGATTTTTTGTAATATAAAGCGACGAAAGTTCATACTTACTTCATACTGAAGTTTAACGTTTCAACGTGTTTGTATTTTCAGAAAAAATGAAGACTTGTATTGCAATAGTGATATTAGGGATAATAAGTGTAATCACGAGTGCTGAAGAATTAAATCAAAAGAATCCGTCACCAGAAAATAATCCAATCGAAGATACAACAAATGTCAGTAAACAAGAAGACCAGGAAAACATAAACACCGAATCTCATATCATTAACGAGATTACTGAAAAATATGACAATGCCGAAATTGACATAGTAATAGAAGAAAGTATTGAAGGTACACCAAATGACTTTATATCACCAGAAGCACCTATTGAATCTCCGGTCAATGAATTAATTCTACCAGGAGTAACATCTCTTGAAGGTATACCTAATGAATTGATAGCATCTGAGCCGCCAACAACTTTAATATACGAAGATGAAGCCCAAGAACCACAAATATTCAATCCTTTTGTCGAAGACAATGTAATTATAAAAGAACCCGGTGAAATTATGGAGACCGCAGCTGGATTCGTCCCTATTCCAATCATCAGAAACAGACAGAAACAAAGAAGACGCTTCGTCACAAGAAGAAATTTCCAAAGATATCCATTTAGAAGATTTCACTTCTTTTATCCCTATCCATTTTATCATCCCAGCTCTCTGAGATATTATAGATTTTAAGCCATACCAAAAACGTTTTGTAATCTTTGTAATTTACAGGATATTTATTAAAATTTTAATAATAAGGTAAATAAAACAAAAAAGTCTTTTGACAATCTATTTATTTCTATTTTCACCAATAAGCATTACTGCCTTATTTATTCCGTGATTTTAATATCATTCCATAGTACTTTATTTTTACAAAAGGACCAGCTTCCCATTACTAATTAGGACACATTGTAGACAACTACATATTCTAAATTGTATTTAATTCATGACATGGGTTGTGGATAGACCCAAATACATACATATTTCATTTTATTTTTCATAGTTTAAAAAAATAATCGTATAACACATTGATAAATTCATTTCTATATACATGAAAATTACAAAATACGCCACCACGTTTGTTATAATACATCGTTACGTATCTATAATATTAAAAGCTTATGACGCTTAAAATTATTTCATGGGATAAATAAATATAATATAACCAGAAAAATATAAAGGTTTCGTAATTTTATACAAGACTTACTACAACAATGACTTTTGTTGTTCTTGTACAACCCTAAAATACAGAATAGGCAATAATTTCTCATTTTCCGGGGCCCACTAGCGCCTCGTCCATGAGCTCGTCGTCCGTGATGCAGGGGGAGTTTGAGTGAGGCGAGGGCGCCACCAGCGGCGAAGGAGCGGGGCTCTTGGCCAGCTGCAGCGCCAGCGCCGGTGATGCGGGGTAAACGGGCCGAACCGCCACCATACCGGACACTTTGCTCCCAGACGATGATGAGAAGTCTAGCAACATTTCTGCAGCTTCCTGAGGCGTCGTCGCTCCGCTCCTAGCAACTGATCCACTTGCCGGCGGCTTCATGCAAGAGTCAGCACCTTTCCTGTCCTCGGAGCTACCTTTCGGTGCAGGAAACCCCTTAGCCATATCAGTCTTGAAATCTAGTGGCATCATCGGGAAAGCCCCAGGAAAACCCTCCTTTGAATCGTCTTTACTTCTTTGAGGACTCTCCCCCTTCCCTAGACCTTCTAAGTTTTTTGAAAAATCCGCTCTGTCAGCTTGATCCAGTTTGCTCGATGAAACGGTTTTAGGGCTCATCGCACCCATGTTTAATAGAGGCTTTGGTACGTTTAAAGTATAACTAGATTTCTGTAGGTTTTCGGGATTTCTAGCGTTAGAATTGTCAAAGTGAGAAAACGGAAACTTGTTTTGATCCAAAGTTCGCGCAAAATCATTCACCAAAGAACGACTATCATATTGCGAGACGGGACTATTTTTATCCGGAGTGTTTTGGTTTTTCAATTTGGGTATTTGAAATTTGCTTGTATCCAACGGTTTTATGAGCCCTTCGACAAGAAAATTAGCTTCCTTGGATGCTTTAAACCTCTCTCCGTCCACGTCATCCCTCGAACTGCTAGGGCTGGAATGACGTTCAGATTTAGAGGAAAATATAGATTTTTCCGAATTGCTCATTAACTTGGTTCTAACTTTTTCCCTTTCTCTGTCCCTTATAATTTTGGACAAATCAGAATTGCTATTTTTTGGCGAGCCCGAACTGGTTTTTGACGCTGACTTAGACAGATTGATTCCGGTACTACCGCCGCTTGAAGACTTCGAGTAAGGCACTTTGGGGACACTACTTGAACTCGATGATTCGGAAGGGCTGGTATTGTTTTTCGGCGGGGTAGAGCTGGTGGACAGGCCAGATTTAGAGGATTGCATCGCCTGTGTTTTTTTAGATGCCGGTCCACTTATAACACCCGGCTTAAGCCCGGTGTGGGTTTTAGGCGAACCTTGGCTCGGTGGAGTTAATTGAGGCGAAGATTGCTTATTAGAACTATAGTTAAGTTTTGAACTACTAGATTCTTTAGATCTAGTTTTGTTAATCGTGATCTTCATTCCGTCCGAGCTGGGCTTGACCATATACTCCTGGTTTTTACTTTCGCTTATTTTCATACTACTGCCGGCTGCGCTGGTTTTTGGGTCGCTGAATTTGTTTGCACTGCTGGAGGAGCCAGATTTTCCACTACCGATGTCGGTGTCGGCGCTGTGGTGAGCCGATTTCAGTTTGTCGATTACCGCGCTGAGCGAGCCTTTTCTATTGCGCGCCTGACTTGACGGTGTGTTAGACTTGTTTACTTCTATATTGGGTGGAGAAATCAATGGCTCGGCGACGGGACTGTCGCAAGAAACCGGAGTGATTTCCAGTTGTTTAAGCTTTATTTGATTCTTTAACTTGGGACTACTACGATCCGAAGTAGAAAAAGACAATCCGGAATGTTTCTTTTCCTTATCCCTGGACGTCATCGAACTGGAGCCGTAGCTGTCTTTTGAGATCTTTTTTGATAAGTCATATCCCGTGGTTCCCGATTTACCCGACGGAGAGCCAGTAGTTGCCGACTTTAACGTGGACATGCTCGGCTTTCCCGATCCTGAGGAACTGTGTTTAGGGGAGGAGATGCTGTGGTTTTTTGGACTCGAGTATCCTGTGAGGTGCTTGGGGCTGTTTTGTACTGGCGAGTGTCGCGGGCTGCTGTGGTGACTGGACGTGCCGGTTGGCTTGCCCAAGCTTTTCACCGAGCTGGGGCTCGGGGACTTTGTGATCGACACGGACCTGCCGTGTGTGGGGCTTGGGCTAAATTTTCTCAGAATAGAGTTTGGGGAGGAGGGCCGCATGGGGGACCCGTCGGTAGGTTTAATACTCACCGATACGGGTTTTGTCAGCGGGTCTTGTTTCGGTGGGACTTTTTCGGGAGGTCCCATGGAGTCGTCCCTGCGTCTTTTCTTCTTCTTCTCTTTGCTGCGCTCCTCGCTGGACTTGCTCGATTTCTTGTCGGACCTGGAGTCGAGTGACTTAAGCTGTGAGGAGGTTATGGGAGTAATGGTAATGGAACTGGGCAAGGTGGCGGGGGTGGCGGAGGATATGGGAATAATTTCTATGCCGGGGCGGCGGTCGAGGCATAACATCGAGGACAAATTTGTCCCCGAGGCCGCGTTCGCGGCGCTCGAGGAGCTGGACCCTATGGGCGTGATGCTGACTGAGGACGGCATGTAAGATTTACCGTCGGTCAGGTCCAGCAGCAAAGACGCCGAGCTTCTACTGCTCCTCGATTCGGACTCCTTGTTTTTTAACTTTTGCCTTTTGTGCTCAGACTTGTGAAAAGAATTCCTGAAACAAATAACAGCGAATAAGTTTATGTAAAGACAAATTCGTAACAATTGTACGTACAAAACCTTTCTTATGTGGAAAAAATTACATTTTATTATGTGGTTGTTACTTCAATGTATTTGATGTAAGTTCGCATATACAATGAAATGTGGTACGTACCGAATCATTTCTTCGGGTTCACCATCATTGGAGTTGTCCATGTCGGAAGACCTGTTATCGTGCACGGTGAGCGCGTCGGCCGGGTCCATGCCGGACAGCTCCAGGTCTGACGCGAACTCGTTCTGCGACACCGAGGACTCGGGCCCTTCCTCATTGGTCGAGTTACTATTCATCGTGTTATCGTCCTCGTTTACATACGAGTTGTCACTGTCGCTTTCGGAGTCTGCGGCTTCCGTGATGCCCTGCTTCCCCTTCTTCTGGCTAGAGGACCACAAGTCGTTGTCGGACTTCCTCTTTTTTGACTTACGCTCGTCGGTTTGCGGTTTTGATTCGCTGGAGTTTGGATCTTGGCATATCATCGAGAGATGGTGCTGTTGCTCCGATAGATATGCACCTGTAAGTAATATTATAATTATGAATTACTCAGACTTGACGTCATTGTATAGAGATAAATTAAGTTTAATATTAACTACTATAAAATATTATGAAAAGTGTATATTCAATGTACCTCCTTGGTGCGTGTTGAGGTTGTTGGGGTAGAGGGCGCGGCCGTGCAGGCCGGCGGGCTCGTGGCGAAGCTCACCCCCGGGGTCCAGCCCGCCCAGGTCGCAGCTAAAATTCGAATCCAGCGCAGAGTAGTTGCCGTTCATCTGCTTCGCTTCCATCTTCCAGATCTTCACCAACGACCTGGGAGATTGCATTATGTTGGAAAATATTATTGATAAATTTAGTAACTCTAATGGTTTTCTCAAGTATTGGGGCAAGTGTTAGTATCGTTTAGAACCTTAGAGTGACAGGTATAGAGTGGCTCTTTTGTAGTACGCGCGTGACGTATTCGTCGACGTGTTCGCTGGGCGGGGCGTGCAGCGTGCAGACGGCGGCGCGCGGCGCGGCGGGCTCCGACAGCGACAGCTCCAGCGTCGCCACGCTCTCGTCCGCCGGGTGCTCCAGCGACACCGAGATGTGCTGCCACGACACCGCGCTCACCTCCAGGATCACCACGCCCTCCATCTCCACCACTGACACACACACAAGCATACATTATACAACATAATGTCTGGTTTACATTATGCCAGTACAGTAAGGCAGTATTGCTCAAAATCAGTGCTGGCATAACGGAAACAATATCAGGCGCCAGTGAGCACATCCAATCAATGTCAGGCCAGCGCTACTGTAATGGCACAATGTAAACCAAAAATAAAATCAGTCATACAAAACTTAAATTCAATTACTTAAGAGACAAAATAAATAAGATAAAATGAAACATATACTCTAAATATCTGATTGATTTAATTCATACCATATACCTTAAGTATCATTCAAGTCTTGTGAAGTGTTTAATCATTATATCTTTGTCCCCGCGTAGAAGGCGCGAGGGAAACGGCGTAATATCAAGAAATCTTTTATATTTGTACTCAACATTGGCCTGAGACCTGTGTGTGTAGTTACCTTGTTTATTCTGCAGGCGGACACAGGAGGCAATTAGAGTGTTGAACAGCGCCTGCTGCCTGAGACAGGCGAGCAGGGGCGGCACGTGCGAAGGATGCGTGAAGGGTACGCTGCGTACCACGCAACCCTCCAGTCCTCGCGACTCGCATATGAAGTAGCACTGCGTTTGCTCCGGCAAGTGCTACACATACACACTCACTTATTATTTAAATATACAACAACAAAACTCACGCTAGTAACCCAGAGGGGTAGGTAGAGATCATGGTCCTCTGTTTGGTAGGGCCTAGCTCACTTCTTTGTCTCATTAAAACATTTGACCCTCCCCTGGGTATTAGTAAGATCTAAACTAAAAAGTACACATTTTTTTTATTTGTCCTTGATGTGTTTTAAATGTATAGATCAAAATGTACTGAAACTTGATAGAGTTTTCTAAAGTCAAAGTTTGACTTAAAAATCCTAAAATAAATCCTAATTATGATGAGGTTGCGCAATGCTTTAACATTATTAATACATGAAAATAGTACATATACGAACCACAAATAGTCCTTTGCTGAGATTCAACTCGACGATCTTGCCGGGCGCTAGCTTGTTGTAGGCCTGCTGCGCTACAAGGCCCAGCATAGGTTTGGCATTTCCCCAATCCCCGGACACCTCCACCTTAACAACAAAATCCAATAGAGTCTAATAATATTGCAGTTTTCCATGGACACCAGTACACTTAAACGACTTGCGCAAAGTTAACAGCTGTCAAAAATCTGAAAGCTATTGTACCTCAGTGGTGGCATGTATGAGCTTGGCAAGTCCAGTGCAGAGCGGCATGGGCTGTGAGAGACGCAGTGTGAAACATGCTGGCAGCATCGCGCTGTTCTGCGGCACCAGTGGCGCGTACACTGGCCCATTACTGTTACATGTACAAACATTTTTATGTTTATTAGAATTATATTAATTCAGCAAGATCTGTTGAGTCATTTCGGAGATACCATCAAACATCCATCCATCCAATTTCGTCCATCCGTTCGCATTAATAACATTAATAAGATTAACAATAACAGACATAGTAAAGGGTTGTCTATACTAAACAGCTTTTTCTTTTTGTATTTGGTACTTTACTTAAGTATATATGTATAAATATTTGATATTTACCCTTTTCCTGATCTCTGTCCACTTGAAATAATCGGACAGAGCTGCAGTTTATTGGCTGTGGAACCTTCTAGAAGAATAGTCGCGGAATAGCCCACAGGCGTATGTGAGGGCGCGACTAATGAAGCAAGACCGCTGGAGGCTGCCGGCTTGCCTAATGTTAGCAGCTCAGTTGTCAATGGTTGCAAACCTTTCTCTTTGTCCAGTAATTCGTATGGTGATACAAAGTATGTCAGACGCATCGCATGTCCTGCAATAAGTGTTACAAAAATTTACAAACACAGGTACATGAAATCCTGGCGGCCATTATGCTATTATTTTTATATAGTTTTGAAAAATTAATAAAAAAATGGTAATTGTTTAAATATGGAAATTAATGTATTTAGCGTAAGTATTGTTATGACAAAAAGGGTTTTTGGCAAAAAAAATGTAATTTGTCTATAGTAAAAACAGTTAGGCAAAGATTCACCAATAGTGTACAAAAACAAATAATTCTCTCATTTTATGATAAAGGGAATACTAAAGTAAAATATTATTTATATATAAATGTTGCTGGTACCTCCTCTGCGTTTCTGTAGAAAACCAATAGGGCTCTTGTGAACCTGGGCCCAAGGATCCTTGATGAAACTCTGCACTTGCCGCAGGGTACATAAGTCTTCCTCCAAACTCTGCAGAGCACTGAAGGCTTTGCACTTTACCTAAAATGTCATCAGTTTTAGGAACAGGTTATCTTACTAATATTATGAATGCGAATGTTTAGATGAGTAGATGTTTGCTTTGAAGGTATCTCTGGAACTGTTCAATGGATCTCGCTGAAATTTGACATAGATGCAGACCATAGTTTGGAAGAGTACCTACTTTCTACCTTTAAAATTTTATTTTATTCCGCGCGGACGGAGTCGTGGGCGACAGCTGATGTATAAAGAAAGTCATCTTCTAAAATTATATAACATTACCTTTTTTTCTGCATTTAATTGATATACCGCTATTAGACCTTCTAGCTGAGCGGTGAAGTCAGCAAAATCTCCACGAGTTATACTTGCCACCATTTCTTCACAACTCTGCTGTTCAATCTACAAAAAAAATGATACATAAAGATAAATAACTGCCAGATATATTTTAAAAAATATCAAATGTTACACTTCCTAGCTAGATAGCTAACTAGTTTGAATTTTCCAACGTTACCTTTCCTTCATGATGAATTTTTACATCTTTCACAGAACCCAATGATTCAACGAGTATTTCTAGATAAAACATATCTGATGATATGAAGAGATTCACTCCTGATGTGCCCACCACAAATTTTAACCTGTAGAACAAATTAATATGTTATTTGTCTTCACTTCTCTATATCCCCCCACTGAGGGGCTCGGAGACTACCCTAAGTTAGAGGGCGAGTCAACCATGCTGGCCCAGTGTGGGTTGACAAGTTGAGTTGACTTCACACATATCTTTGAAATTGCTTGGCAGATATGTATCAGTTGCATTATGTTTTCTTTCACTGTACGAATGTGTTTACTTACCCAAGCTGTCTGGATAGACATTCAAGTCTTTCTATTAAACTTTGCAGAGAGCCGACTTTTATACAATGTTGTAAGCTGTCTAAGCACTTCTGTAGAATCTGTCTGTCTGCACTGTCTACCGCCCATCGTTTGTCCTGTTTATTAAAACAAAATTTGAGTAAGAATTCATTTTAGTCCATAACTTAACTGCAAGCTTTATTTAACATTCATCTATCTTAGTTTGTAAGCAATCACATTATTTAGATACTTATTAATTCTTTTATTAGAAGATTTTAAATATCACAAGCATATTGTGTATGTTGTATATGTTTTGTTGCAAAATAAATTTTTAAACATACCAGCAATGCCATACGCACGGCTTTTGATGTTTCATTTAAATTTTTATATTGTGATGTTTTGGACCTCAATTTTTCCATGAGGATTTCCTTTTGAAGTTCCTTTGACTTATCCATGAGACCATTGGTAGTCGCCATGGCTAATGGTTTTGTCTCCGTCATAGTAAGAAAACTTGATTTGGAATAATGCAACAACAAACAAAATTGATAACACCACTAGAATCACAGATGGTTTTCAAAACAGACCATGTATGGTTTTTAGAACCTATTTTATCGATACATTTTCCGTGGACTGATGTTTTTATTATTTGTATATATATTGATGATAAAATACTTATAATCAGATTCTTTTCAAAAAAATTAACTCAAATATGTGACATGATGTGACAGGCTAAAGCAATCGAGAGCGAACTGTCATTTTCATACAAGACAAGATGCCATTTGCTTTGATTAATACGGGGTTACCATTTTATCAAAATGTTTCTCTTGTTTTCTTAATTTTACCATTTTATTAAAATGTTGACTATTTTTGTAAAATACAATTAAATAAAATATAGAACATTGGGGCAAATAAATATTTCTTTGAATAGCGAAGTATTCATTTAACAGATTTAATGAGTGTGGCAATATGTAACAAGATCTTCAATAAAACAGAACACATCCTTACGTGGGTATTTATAAAACTTATCATTACAAAGCTTTTAAAATCTATGTGAAAAAACTACTTATAGGTATTTGCACATGGTATAAATAAGTTCTCACACATACGTGATTTAAAATTTCGATGTCGCCGGTCTTAAAATCCTTCATTTCGTAAGTATTTTTTAGGATTTGTTTCTTATACGTATTTTGTTTCGAAAAAAAGTGATAAGTCTGTTCGCTTTAGAGTTAATTCTGAAATAGTAAAAAGTATAACTTGATTATATTATAGAATAAAATTCTTAAGTAAAAGGCGCATTTCAAATTTATTGGTTCAATTTAACAAAATTGTTTTATTCAGGTATCCTTGTCACGAGCGTGGATCTAAAGGGATCAGACGACGTAAGTGGAACAGAGGCCATGCAATCTAATTATGGTTGCTTTTTACCCCTTTTAGTCGCTTTGAAACATAAAGAACGTGTCTTCACTTTAATGGAGCTGATGTGAGTTTTTTAACAGCAAAAACTTTTTAATCTAACTTTATCATGAAAAGAAATTATTGGTTCTGAAATGTTTTAATAATTTTGAATCTAGTATAGCATTTACAGCTCTAGCTACAATTAGTAGTGCTCTATAAAATCATTCTGGCCCATTTGATGGAGGAGGTGACACAGGAAATATTCTCTTTCTCTGTCTCTACTCTTGCATCGATTAACACATTGCATAATGCCGATTAAAAGGCGATGGAGGCGATTGGGCTGACATGGCCCGAGACCAAGCGCAGAGCCCAGGATAGAGCGAACTGGCGGCGCACTGTGGACGCCCTCTGCCCCACTGTGGGGACATAGGACTTTAAGTCAAGACAAGTAAGTCATAATGCCGATTACATTGTAAGATGCTTCCCTATATGCAGTTTTAGTAATGAATGTAGTGTGTTTCCATGGCGCCGTGCCGTGTACTCGGCCGTATACATCTCCACGGTGCCGTGTAATTGGCATTAAATGTGTTAAAGGTAGGCAACGTATCTGCAATTGCGGATATCTATGGGCAGCGATCGCTTCGCCATTTCGTCGAATTCATGTGGCCGCTTGCTCGTTTGCCACTTTAAAACTATAAAAAATAATCCACGGTAACTTTAGTCTTATTAGTAATAGGCAATCCAATTCGCAGCCTAACCATGCCTAATAGTAGTTTGTGTCATTTTTGATATACGGAAAATAAATATAAATATAATTATAAATTCAAGCGTTATATATTCAAGAGAAATTTATATAATAAATCTTAAGTTGGGGTCCGTTTACCTGAAGTTTGAACAGTGTGTAATCGCACGAACTGCGGAGCGGCATTACATGAACAAACACAAATTAATGAGAAATAGATTGTGGATGAATGTTGGCTTGTTTATTTTGATAGATACTCATCTATACTAAGATTATAAAGAGGGAAAATATGATTATTTGTTTGCATTAAATAGAGTCGGAAATTATTGATCCGATTTGAAAATACTTTTACTATTAGGAAGGTAAATTATCTCTGGATGACATTGACTAATTTAATACTAGGGTTTTCTTGAGCAAATGCTGTTTGATACAACTTTAAAATGTTATGAAAATGCATGCTCCAGCGTTATCTCGGCGGAAAATAGTAATTCTAAATGATGTAATAACGATATTAAATTACTTGAATATATTTTATTACATTAAGATTAGATATAATAAATATACTTTTAATTATTGCGTTAATAATCCATCCGTCACCGGATAATTAGACGTGAGAGTTAGACGTTCTTAATTAGTTTATTCTAAGGTCTCACGATAGTTTTAACAATTGTCCAATCAGAAGCAATATTTTAAAATAGAAATTGGAAAACACATTATTTTCTTCAGGGAAAAGTTTCCTCGCAGGTGCAGTTGAGTCTGCCAGTGACACAATTTGACACAACTTACAAATGCATTGTATTTCTTTTCAACGTGGCATCGACAGATAATATGGACAACTATATTGCGTCTAGGAAAATATACTGTTGGGAAAATGGACATCGAAGTAGTAGCTTTTAAGAAATAAATCGCTTTATATTAAATAAAGACAATAATTTTTCTTTTTATTCAAATCCTTTAAAATAGTATTTAGTGGATAACAAAAGTATTTGCTATTAAGTAGATACTCTACTATTCTCTTTTAGAATCTTTCCAGGTACTAAAAGTGAGCTATCAATTTTCTGTTAGCTCTCTTCACGATGATTTTAAAAAGGTCTTTGTGCCGGCTAAAGTTTCGCTTTAATGGTAAAATAGGTTATGAAATTTATACTTAACTACGTTTTCTAGAAAGTTTAAAACGATGAGTAAAGATTTCAATAACTTAATGCGTAGATGCAGATGCTTAATTTTTTTTTTTTGAATAAGCTAGCGCTTAAATAAAATAATATTAATACACCATGTATACTTTTTACAAATATTATAAATGCGAATGATTGGATGAATAGATGATTGTTTAAAGGTATCTCCAGAACGGCTGAACGGATCTCTATGAAATTTGGCATACATATGTAATATAGTCTGGAAGAACTCATAGGATACTAATTATATCTTTTTTTTAATTCCGCGCAGACGGAGTTGCGGGCGACCGCTAGTTATAAATAAAACTCTTTTATCTATATACTGTCGAAGGATAATGTGTAGTAAAATAAAAATATCAGTTTAATATGTGTGTAGTCCCTTTGATCAAGTTCTCTCTCTGACAAGGACAAATTGTTATAATTTATTATCATTATTTTGCAGATGATCCTTTTAAGATATCAGTTTATTAGCTTTATTTTTTAAAGAACCTTAGTTACGAAACATCATAAAATAACTACTTGTATTATACTAAATTGGAAACTACAATATGTGTAGTCGGACTCAATAGAAATGAGAAATTATATTTATAATATATAATACATTTCACTCACTGACATGTGTTTTTTGTGTATGGGTTTATTTTGTTAAGTTTTTATGATCTTTATGATTACAGCCTTATGAAGGATAGGTTTGTTATAACTTCTCATTTCTATTGAAATCGTCGATTATTTTTTTGTAATATTGATATTTGCGTTATTTTCACTATTAAGCATTTTAGTCAAATCTCTTTTTAGTTCGAAGATAAATACATCCGTAGGTATCGTAAGTTATTGGCCATATGATTTCCTTTAATGCGGTTCCGTACCACTTTTTATTTCAGTTCTAAAGTAAAACGTTCCCCGGAGCCGATCTAATTCCTTCAGGCGTACACTCCGATACGATCGCTAAAACATTTTCCCTTCTCTTTGCGTGAAAGCATTTATTGCATTAATAAAAAGACAATGGTGTCTGGCGAATAAATATTCTATGGACTGCGAGTAAAATTCTATTATTGGTTGTTTTATTGTTAAATGTCATTGTTACTGCTTGATAAATAAAGTATAATAGTTGAGGCAATAAATAAATATGTTAGAATCAGTTTTAAACCGTTTATTATTTGAATAAAATTTATTGAATGCTTCTATTATCATTTGTTTTCATAGAGGCAGTTTTTTTTACGAAAGAAACACCTCGGTGGACCCGCTGCTCATTTGCCCCCTTCTGTTATAAAAAAAAGAAAAGCAAAGTGAACATATGTATTTAATAATGATGTTTAATCATCTTATTGAATGTACCATCTTGTAAACACTTAATAGTACAACATTGCCTATTGCGCAGGGTCAAATACGTGGTCAAGTACGCTGTTTATATTAAAAGTTTTCATTCTCTTGTTATATGTAACAAATATTTCATTGTACAATTTTCACATACGTTGAAACATTGGGGTTTTTACAAAGAATGATAGATGTGTTGAATACTCTCTCTCTATTGAAATGTCTTCTTTTTTATTGTAAACATATTGTCATACGGACGTATGTTTTGACAATGGTTTATTTCGGTCTGTTTCGTATTGTCCATACAGTTCTTAATGTTATTCAAAAGATACATTGGTATGAAGTAATTTATTAAAATACGAGGCTAGAGGTTCATTTTAGTCTTCTCTCCCTTCCCACCTTTTTCTTCTAAGGAAGGAATGGGAAGGGTAAGTGGATTTGACAGAGGTAAAGACATAAGAAAGGGGGTTATATCCTTTTTCTGTGGGTCCCCACCTCTGTCGATTTAAGGTCAATGGGTAACAGTTGCTTCTCTATTTCGGCATATTCAGGTAGCCGCTTTCTCCTTACGATATAAAAAAATTGTTTAGATAAATAAAATTCGACTCATTTTCGATAATGTGCTCTTCAATTGTTTGTTCTCTCTTTATCTTACGTTAAAAAGTTTACTTTACTAATATATTATACTAACATTTTAATAAATTAAGCAGCTTATTTATTCATGTCAAATGCATACAAGACTTAATCAGAGCTTAGGTAGGGCGCGGCTTGTTTACGAAGTAAGTTAAGTGCAGAGATGTAGAGATTATCCTCGTTCGAATACAATCTACTTAGCACATGATTGATGTTGGCTTTGAGGATCAAAGGATCACCGAGTGTCCTCTGAATAGATTACAAATTACTTTTTCTAATTTACTTTTAGCCTTACTTGTTATAATTTAGTGATCAACTTATATGTCCCATGACCTTTTAATGTGGGTCCAAATTTCTTTGGAGTTATCTTTCTTTAAGGGACAAAGATAGATTGGGATGAAGTTAATAACAATGAAGCCTTTACTAACGTGCTGGAACAATTTCAAGCGTTCAGCGTTGGGCGTTCTTTATCATCG